AGTAATAGACAAGAGCTCAGCATTGGCGGTAGGTAGCTGTAGCTACTAACTAAGTGATGGAAGACATTAAAACAAAACATTAAAAATAAGGAATATGAAAAATTAGAGAAGCACTAAAAAAGGAAATAAAGAAGAAAAATGAAGGCCAAAGTAATTCCAGTGATAATTGGAACACTTGGAAGTGTGACTTTTAAACTAGAAAAGTGGCTGGCTTCAGCAGATTCTAGGAACAACATCAGAGATCTCTATCCATAAGAACGCACTTCTTGGAATAACTAAGATACCGCGCAGAACCCTCAGTCTCCAAAGATGACCCTAATTTTATCTAATACACTCAAAAAATTTATCCTTCCTATCAACAAATCCTCTCAAAAACTGGCAAATAGATAATCTAATATTTCCACAGAATAGATGGATGATTGACGAGTGAAAAAAAATTAGATAGAATAAATAGAAAAAAGTTTTTCCTAATTTTTGACTAGGCTATATACATTTTTCATTTTCAGAAATGATTTTATTTATTTTTTATCTATCGATATTCTCATTCTAATAGGATTTTGGCTGATTTGCACTGGCTTTTAGGATGGATGGGAATATTTTTCAGGAGAGAGACGATGATCAGTCAATAGGCCTGTAGATTGAATTCCATGCGGATTTCATGCGGTTCTAATGCTAAATTGAAATTTATTTCTGTCACTGGGAAGAAATTGAACATTCTGGCTTAGCCGTTGCATATTACTTTATCATTTTGCTGTTTATCGGTTACATTGCATACTTTTAGATGTATTGCAATTGTAATTTATTAGCATTGTTGTTCGAAAGATTCGCAAAGCAGTGGAAAATTAATCGGCTTTGTCTTAGTAATTTTATTATTATATTACACATTTTGGCTTTTTCACTCACTGATCGATACGTTTTCATTTGCGAGGAGTTTTACACTAATTTAGTTTTATTTTAAATTATCTAATAGAATTGCGAAGTATAAAATTTATTTCGATTGTCGAGTATTCTCTGGCGAAAATCCCCTTTCTGGTGCGTTAAGCCAAAGCGTGGAACGAACGTTCCTAAACAAAATAGTTGAAGCAGTTTTGGTCGATAAAAAATATTGTTTGGAAGGTAATAAAAATTGTAATGGTTTTTTTGAAAATTAAATTCTTTTAAGATTTTGATATTTTTTAAATTTAATATTTTTAATATTTAAATTTAATATTTTCATTAGTTTTAACATTTTTTCAAAAAATTTAGAATTTTAATTTTTTTTGCGATCACTTGGGAAAGTTTTATCGGATTATTGCAAATCGTTCAACTGTTTTTTTCTTTTGTTGGGATTTGCTTCCACTTTCTTTTAATTTTTTTTCGGTTTATGATTTCGACATTTTAGCATTAGTGATGTATTTTAATATTCGATTGCTGGCGTCGAGGTCTCCTTTTTCTCAGGTGACTCTCTGGTGCAAGGATCTCCAATATGACGGTGATCAGAGGAACCAATATGACCAAGAATGGTCAAATGCTGGTGAAGGTGGTGAAGCTGCTGGGTAGATATGATATTTTAATTGGCAAATTATTTTAGGTTTTCAGTAATTTATTTGTAAAATATTTGATTCTCATTTGTTACTTAATTAAATGAAGAATGCATAAATTCAAGAAATTTTAACTGTAATTTTAATTTGAATATTTAATTTTAATTTTATTTAATTTAATTTTGATTGATTTTAATTTTAATTTTTGGTTTTGATTGATTTCAGTGAAAAAATTTTGCGGTAAAAATATTTATTTTTTGTATTAGAATAATTTTCTTGGCTTAATTTTTCGTAGTTTTTTCCATTTGATTTTTGGAGATTTGGGAATTTTTCACTGCCACAATTCCGAATTACCGAATTCCGAATTTTTTTTTAATTTCTGCTTTTTTTTGAAACTATTTACTTATAAAAGTGAGAAATTTAATTAATAAAACAATGAATTGGTTTCCGATTTTGTGTGATTTGTTCATATTTCCGTTGCATCGAATTACGGTTATATCGTTTTTTCCTTAGACGATATGCCTGCCATTCGTGTTAATTCGCTTCGTCAATTGCTGGCGGTCAATTTTTTCATTCTCTCCTTTTTTGTTCGTAAATATTTCATTAAAGTAATGTAATGTAAGTAATTTTGAAATTGATTTGATTAATCCGGCTGGAAGGAAAGGGTGAAATGGAAACGACGAGAGAGTTGTAAAGTATGGAGCTGCTAAGCCGATTGCGACGCATTTCCATTTCCACTAAATTATTTTAACCATCCATCGGCATTGTTATTGTTTATCACATTAAACAAGGAGTAATTTTTGTGGTTCGAAGTTTTTAGTTGGGCGCTAAAATCTTTGTGGAGCGACGAAGTAACAATGGATGGGCAACAAATGTGCTAAAATATTCCGAAGCCTCTTCAACCGTGGAAATTATGCATTCGACGCAGCAAGTTCTGAAATATTATTAATTTTCGAAATTAATTGGCTGAAATTAATTGTTGTGGTAGTGAAATGATGCAGAAAGAATTTCCCAGAGAGCTCGGTTCGTCGTTTGTTAATTAATGTTTGCCTTTCAGTTTCATTCGTAAGAAAAAGTTATTTTTATTGTTTTAATTAATATAATAATATATTGCAGGTGAAATTAATTGAAATGTAGGGGACGAAACGAGTTCACGAATATCCCTATTTTTTCGTTCATTACTTCTATTATAGAATAGAAATTTTTTAGCCTTAGGCTGTCTGCCAACTATCTTTTCTGATAAAAAACGTGATAAAGTGATTTATTTATTTGTTATTAAGAAGAGAAAAAAACGATATACGATTTTGCGTGTATTTCTATTCTTATTTTTCGTGGATTTTTTTTTTTGAAGTGGAATTGAAGTAAAAAGAAGGGCAATAAATTTCATAGATTAGTCGGTTACTCTTATCGCAAATTTATTTTTTTATAATTTATAAATTTCATAATTTTTCTATTTATAAAACTTTTAAATGTTTTTTTCATGCGCAACAAATGGTGTAAATGGTGTAAATTATAAATATTCTTTCGTATAATCACAAATAACCATTTACCATTTAATGGAGCATTTAAGAATAATTGTTTTCATTAGAATTCACCGATCATCGTCACCGATCCTCTCATATAATTTTATTATATTTTATTCACTTTCGTTGAAAACTGGTTAGCTCATTCGTTTTCACAATTTTCTTCTCGTTATTCCCAGTATATTCGTATCGTTTATCGTTTTTTAATCAGTGATCTTCAGTGATTAATTATAAAACAATATTTTAGATTGATAAGATAAAAGTTTAGAAAGAGAAAAGAGAGAGTCTTTCATTATTTTTTATCGAAAAGGCATCGATAGGAAGCGACGATTTTTGTGATTTAAGCAATTTACAAAGGTTTTATACCTCTCTTTTAACTAATTTCATCGAATTTTTTAATAAGAAAATGATTTAATTTGATTAGTTTAAATTAGTTTTTTTTTTTTAAATAGCATTAACTTTCAGTAGATATTTTTTTTGGAATTTCTGTGGATTGCATTTGTCTATTTGAGTTGAATTATTCGTCCATCAATTATTGAAGTATTGTAGAAGAAGGAAATTATTTCATTATTCGGTAGGCAATTAAATTTTTTTGAAATTCTCGGTTGGTGTAATCCCGAAAATTTTGAAAAAAAATTGGCGAATGCGTTAGGAATTGGGTTATTCGCGGAGTGAACGGTAATACGATGTTCTGCTTTTTTTTTGTTTGGCGTTATAATCGAGATTAGTGGTGTAGTTTTGTTGAAAATTGGGCTTTGTTTTTGTGGCCAATGCGAAAGCATTAAGAGCGACTGCCGCTCGATAGAAATGGGATTAGACGATGGAAAAAGAGACAGCCTCTGCAGAGATGGCATCTCATCGAACAGCCCAGAAACGTCCTAAATCTCCTAAGCGTCTTATCCTTTTAGACAGTCTTACCCAACTAGTCTAACCAGTAATGGTGAGAGCCGTTAGCAGAAGAAGCGAAACTGGCACGGCAATATTGGAATATAGCAGAATTTAGAATGTTTTAAAAAGCTAAGCGACCAATTTTAGCTATAAATTAAAGAATAATCGTTCAGACGACTGTTTTTGTTTTTCTTTTTCCTAATATTTCAAATTTTCTATCTATTTCACTAAATGAATTTTTTAAAATTTAAATAGTAAAATTTTCTATTTAATTACTAATTTTTAGTAATTACTTTTTGCTGCGAATAATTCAGTGAATTTAATGAATTGGAATGTAATTGAAAAGAAGTCATTTTGCCTATAGCATTTTCCTATTTCCCATAAAAAGTCTATCAAACTCTCTTATATTTCCTTTATAATTCCTTTCACACTCCTCGAAATTTTCGCTTCATCTTTAATTTCCATTATTTTATCTGTTTGATTTCATATTTAAGTATTTTAGAAGAAATTTATCGACCGTTCTTTTTTCCAAAAGAATTTTCTAAAATTTCTCACTTATTATTATTATTGAATGCAATGAAAAAAATACATAAAAAATAAATCAAAGTTGTTTAATTTAAAGTTGAAAAAATTGTTTGTTTTGTGGTTTATTTTTTTGAAATTATCTTACAAAATGATTTAATTCGTTTTTTCACTTATTTATCACTTTATCAATTATCACTTATCACTTATTTGTTATTTATCATTTTTATCAATTAATTGAAGTTTCTCACAAATTTTAGAAGCAAAAGATTTGTTTCTTTCTTCCAAAATATTGTTTAAATCGAATAACGATCGATCGTTAAATATTAAATTTTTGCAATTATAACAAAATTTCATTAGAATTTTCGAAAAACCTGAAACTAAACAGACTTTGGAAGTGGTTTTGTTCTATTTTACTAATTGTTTGCATATTATTTATTCAGTGTTTCCTAAAATACGACGTAATTGCTCGTTCTTAATTTTTGAAATATTAGAACAACTAAGAAGAAAAGGTTTTCAGAATGTAATTTTGGTCTAATTGAATTCGATGGATGCGAATTTATTGTTCGACGCTTTTGCTTCGGCGACCACCTTCTCAAGAATCCAGCAGTTGTTCGGTCAACTTTGTACGTTTCTCGAGATCGATCAGTTCGATTCGGCGACAGTTTATAAGAAGTTTCTTTCTTGTTTCAAAAATTTTCACGTCTGAATCAGTTTATTTAATTTCAGCTAAAACTAAAATTTTAAAGATATTCTAAATATCTTTAAATTTTTGTTGCGAATAAAGCAGCTTTCTTTTGTAATTTTAGATTATTCTTCATTAATTTCTAATACTATTTGATGAGTTAAGTTCCTTTAAAAGGTTTCATAATGTAATGATTTGCAGTCTTAAAAATAAATTAACGGATTGGCGCGCCAAGGAACTATGGAGCGTTCTCGATAGACGTGCAACCCAGAAAGAATACTGCGGTCAGGCAGCTTGTAAAAAACTCAATGTACTTGTCATAGGAGCAGGTATATTTCATTTCGTCATAATTTTATCACCTTATCTCCCATTAAGATATTTTTTATTTGACCTATTATCTACCGATTTCATTTAAAAAAATTTAAGTTACTCATAAAAATTCGGCAGATTATGATGTAATTTATTTTATTTTAATTTCGTTCATTAATTTATTTATTCTCAATCATTTATTTTAAAATTTATGTTTAATTTTATTCATTTTATGAATATATTATATATTCATTTTGTATTAACTCGGAAAACGAGGGGGATAGAATGGCTCAGTGGGTTGTTGCTAAATTTGGAGTGCCGATCTGAGATTCGATTCCCCGCAGGAGAAAATCTGTTCGAAAATCCAGATGATGTTGGAGAATCATCTGTAATTCTATCATCAAAGGACTCTCTGGCATATTTGTCCAATGCGACAAGCCAGTGGAGAGTTTAACAAGTAATGGCTCTTTAAAAAAAAAAAACTGGGAAACCAGCCTTCAATATGAGAAAAAAGCAAAGAAAATTAGAAGGAAAAATAAAATTAGGTTTCAAAATAATAAGCAATATGGCTGGCTGGTGCTAAATAATTAATAATTAAAAAAGGAAAATAATTAATAATATTTAATAAATAATTAAAAATATTTGGAGAAATAAACATTTTTATTTTATAGGGCCTTGTGGTTTACGTTCGGCAATTGAATGCGCCTTACTTGGCGCTCATGTTGTTTTGGTGGAGCAGCGAGATTGTTTCTCTCGTAACAACGTCCTTCATATTTGGCCATTTGTTATTCAAGATTTAAAAAATCTTGGCATTAAAATTTTTTATCCGAAATTCTGTCGTGGAAGCATCGATCACATTAGTAAGCATATTTTTTAGCATATTTTTTAAGATTAATCAAATTCATCAGAATTTAAGTAATATTTTATAAAAATTTTTTCAAAATAAATTCTATACCTACTTTCTATTTAAAATATAATATAGAAGGAATTATCCAGTTGAGGGGAAAGTCAAAAAGAAGAAAATTCTTAAAGTTATCATTGAGTCAAATTTTCAGTGGTTCTGGCTTTTACATTCTTTTTGATCGTTCTTAATTTTTGTTCACAACAAAATAATTAAAAGTTATTTTTTCGCTAAAAGTTCACTTTTTATTTATTTAATCTTTTTCATTTATTATGTAAGAATTATTTAAGATTTATAGTTGAAATTATCAATTATTATAAGAATTATTTAAGATTTATAGTTGAAATTTTTTAATTAATGCGTTTTCAATCAAAAAAAAGATGGATTTTTGCAGGCATACGACAGTTACAAATATTCTTGGCAAAAGTTGCGCTCATTGTTGGCGTGCAAATTCATGATTCAGTAACCTTTCGAAATCTTATTTTCCCAAAATCTCACAATAGTGGATGTTGGTACTTTTGTAAATTTGAGAATCTCTTTCATATTTTAATATATTCATTCATTTATTATTCACTAATTTTATTAATTATAAATTTTTTGTTGAACTGAGATAATTGAGATATGAGAGACAATTATAGTTAATTATTATTACTTCATTTATGATTAGCCAGTAAAAATTAATTTATTAACGAAGCTTTTTTACTGGTACTTAATTTTTTCAGTAAGCGGTTGGCGAGCTCAATTCCAACCTTCAAATCATATTCTATCTGAGTATATATTCGACGCATTAATTGGTGCTGACGGAAAACGAAATAGTTTACCAGGTTAGATTTAGTTTTTTATTTGTGTCTCTTATTTTTCCCACAAATTTATCAGATTTTTGTAGACTTCTAAATTTTATTCTATTTCTTCTTCTCCATTTTGTCGAAAATTTTTTTCAGGTTTTCCAAAACAAGAAATGCGTGGAAAACTCGCAATTGGCATAACCGCTAATTTTATCAATCAACGAACTCTCGAAGAGGAAAAAGTTCCAGAAATTAGGTTTGTTTCTTATTTTCTCAAGGTCTGTTATTATGGTAATAGACGAAAGTTTCAAATTTTTTTGAACCACTGATAATTCGCATTGGTCTTCTTTATTAAACGATTGTGTTAGTTTTTTTAGTGGTGTTTCTTATATATTCAATCAACAGTTTTTCAAAGAGATGAAAGAACTAACGGGTGTTGATTTGGAAAATATCGTTTATTACAAAGACGAAACACATTATTTTGTGATGTGCGCGAAAAAACAGAGTCTCTTAGAGAAAGGAGTTATTATTGAAGTATGTTACTTAAACAAAATCCTTTTACATATCCATATTTTCTCACTTTTCTAATGAGAAAAAGAAGATAGGATAAGCATTTTACTTTATTCTTTTGCCCATTAACATCGGTGATTTTGAAATGATTAGTTAATTGATAAGATAATCAGTACTTCGAGAGTGGTCAAAGTATTTTTCTTTTAAAATGTAATTCTTTTTTTATATAACGTTACATCATTAAGATCCGAACACTATACTTTTTTTTCTTGCGGGGTAAGCTGATTTGAAGTGAAATCCAAGTAGTTTTTGGCATGCTTTTAATAATCAGTGAAGATAGAAAAATTAAAAATGATGAATAGTGCTCGGATAAAATAATTTCTTGGCAGTAATTTTATTATTTTTTGGGTATTTCTAAAAATAAATAAAGTATTAAAAAAATTTGATTCAAAATGAACTGTCAGTACGATATTATTGCAGGATAATGAAGATATTTCTCTTCTGCTATCGCCAGATAATGTAAATCAGGTAATTTTTTCTTAAAATTTTTATTTATTTTAATTTTCAATGCTTAGATGACGAGGAAATTTCATTTAATAAGATAGAACGATAAACTGCGAAGCTTTTTCGTTTTTCTTCTTTAATTCCATTAATTAATTATCAAATCAGCGATAATTTAGAATAATAGAGTTATTTAGGAGAAATTATGTGATTATGCAGCATCTGCAGCTGATTTTGCCACTGAAGGGAAATTGCCAGCGCTGCAATTTGCTATTAATCACAATGAAAAAGAGGATGTTGCGATGTTTGATTTTACCTCATTTTATTCTGCAAAATGCTCTGTTCGATTAGTTGAGCGACATGATCAACGATTAATTATGGCAATCGTTGGTGATAGTCTTCATGAGGTTGGTCTTTTTTAGGAGAATACGAAGTAGCCAATATAGATTCTTTTTCAAAATCATTTTACTTTTAGCCATTTTGGCCTACAGGATCAGGCATAGCACGCGGCTTTCTTGGAGTTTTTGATACTTCTTGGATGCTTCGATCATATGGGTTGAATCATGAAGGGATTATGTTGTTGTTAGCTGAACGTGAAAGTGCCTATCGGCTTCTTGCTCAAGCTAAACCCGATAATCTGCAAAAACAATTGGAAAAAGTTTGTTTCCAAATCTTTTTTCCATTTTTTTAAATAAATTTGCGACTAATTTTGCAATCCTTTTTTGATGGTTTTTATTACTTTAAATTTTAGTGCTTAAGTTTTTTTCTCTAAGAGCGCTCAGCATTCCTGGTTAGCTTCGCTGATTGAACGAGGCAAGTTTTGCCAAGGAATCTCTTAGCAATAGAAGTATAGTCGCCATCATCATCCCATTTAAATTATTCACTAAAATTAGTTAAAAGAAAATCATAACTTATTGATATCACAAATTTTTTTCGAGGAAATTGCAATTTTTAATGAAAATTTTTAATGAAAATTAAAACGATGGACTGGTTGTCTTTAAATTTTTCGCTATTTTTTATGAGATTTATCATGTTTTATGTTTTAATTTATGTTTTAATGTTCTATGAATTTTATAATGTTTTATTAAATTAAGATATGGACTTTTCGGTGTTTCTTTTTTGTTTATTGATTCTTTTTTAACCAAATTTGTAGTATACAATCGATCCTCGTACCCGTTATGTAAGCTTTGAATTATCGGTTCAACCACATGAAATAAGTCATCTAGTGGATACAGATAATCCACGACATATCGAAACCAATCGACCATTGCCTTTGAGAAATTTCGTTGATTCTTCGTTCATTAAGAGGTATTTTTTATTAAACTTTATTTTTTCTTTCAAATTTTAGCTTAGCATGCAAAAGCAGAAATCGCAAGCGTAAGGTTCATCAGTTTTTGTAAAAAATATGAAAATAAATGTGATTATAAATAAAGAAAAGGTATTCTTAGAAATTTGAAGGTTCTTCGCAACAATCTTTAACAAATCCGAATCCGAATGTTTTATTTAACTGCTGACTTGATTTAACTTGATTTTTTTTTCAGTTATAAGATATGGCGGTTCTGTCAAAACTTTTTATCAGTGTATAAATTAAAGATTTATAATTTAAATTCGTGGTATGTTCTTTCTCCTTTTTGTGACTGCTATTCTTACCGATTATTGAAATCATAAAAACGGTCGTTTTATTGTCCAAAATTATGCTTTCTAATAAATAATATTAAACAATTAGTTAATAATTTAATGCATTTTTCAGCTGGGATGATGGAAGGGCATTAGCGGCATTAGTTTCGAAATTCAGACCAGATATTTTAGATTATATTTCTTTATGCTCTTTGCAGGACGCAGATCGTATGATTCAGGTTTTTTATTATCAGTTTAAATGTAAAGAATAACAGTAAAGAATGATGATGAAAAAGATATAAAAAGTAGTGGTAAATAGTAATGAATTAATTAATAATAGAAAAAGTTGATGAAAATATTGTTTTATAAAAAATGAAAATTAACCTAAAATATATTCTATAATTTAATTAATTTTCGCTTTTTTCATTGAAAAAAAAATTATCAATACTTATTTGTAATTTTTTCATTTTTTTGAAGAAAAAATATTTGCAAGAATTCTGTTATGAATGGTCATTTATATCGGATTTTGTTATTATTTTGTATTTTTTTCATATTTTTCATATCATATTTTTTTATTTATTTATATATTTTATATTTTCTGTTAGCCGTTTCTAAATCGGCCGACTCTCTTTTAATAAGTAATATATTTAATATTCTTGTATCGAAACTAAAAGACAGGATACATGGAGATATCAAAAAAACAATTCAGCAACGACTAACGCCTAATGTACAATAGTTGACCATCTTCCAATCTTGTGGATCGTTTGTGTTGTAAAAACGAGTTGAAGGTCGAATTACAAATAAAAAATACCGAAATAAAAGCGATCATAATGGTTATGGATTCAGAATATTACTGAATATGATCTAAGAGAAGAGATGAGAGGCTATTACTGTGGTGGCAATGTCCTTGAAGAAAAGATAAACACGGGTTCGCAATAAGAAATGTAATTTGATTAAAAGTGTAATCTTTATGCTGCCGAAATTGTTCCTGGATCTGAATATCTTTCGCCATGAAAAACCTAGTGACAAAGGCTTTTGCTTTTTGGTCAGTAGAAAAATCCCTTCCTTGTTAGAGCGACTGTTTTCTAGCCATGGTGCCGAGCAATATCTTCCGTATGGAACTCTCTTAGCGCCAAGTTTTAGCGCGATTTAGGGCCAATGAAAGAAGCAGAAAACAGGAGAAAAAGACCGCTACTTTCTGATAAATACCAGTATATCATTTAAAGAATTACCAAACATATTTGAATAGCCTCATTTTGGGCTTCAATAATTCTAAATATTTTAGGATTATTGCCGATTTGTTTTTCCATTCTAAGATTGCCCAGAAATAAGTATTGAAAATGGAACCTTTTCAGCCAAAAATTTCAAAAACTAATTTGGCAACATATTTGTTGATGACGATGGGATAGCGAAACTATGAAAGCAAAAGGCGACATGGAGATTGGCCAGCTTCCGTTCATTTTTGGATTTTACTCGCGGACTTTTATATTTTTCATCTTTGACATCACTGGATCATCTTTTTTTTTATCTTTCATGCTCCATTAGCCCTTACCCAGCTTTCCTTTTGCCTTCTTTATAAGTGTCGTCGTCTCCTTAATATATTTGAATCCTTTTTGCTGATTCGCTATTTTGACGTGCGCGTAAACTACGATGCACTAATCTCTGCAACTCATGAAAACTATCTTATCAGTCTGCTCCTTATTGATCCTTGATTAATCAGTAATTAGTTTGTTGACAAGGCAAGTTAACTGCTGGTTTGAATCCATTTTCTATTTTTTCGACCCCTTAATAGTCTTTTCTTTTCGTCGTTTCACGAATTCTTTGGAATTTACTTGAATTTGATATCATAAATGTGTGCTCATTGAGGTTGGTAGACTTTCTCCATAATTATCTTATGATCTTGTTCTGCTCTTCTGTTCTGATCTTGAGATTATAAGATTATAAGATTAGCTATAATCATTTCATATAAAAATTCTCGAATCATTTTATTTGGTTTATTGTGATTTCTGTAAGTCTTTATAGCGATTTTTTTACATTGTCTTAGTTCGAATATTTCCATTTATTTTCATCTATGGCTATTCTAATAAATTTATTTCCTGAATGATTTGGGTCAATTTATTTAAATTTTAAAACTTTTAAATCTTTGCAATTTTTGAATGATAAATGATAATGATAAATGATAATGATGATTTTGGAAATAAAAAATATAAATTGAATTTTACGATATATTATTTTTGTTTTAGCCATTGTTTTTTATTTTAGACTGTATTTACCGTTCTTCAAAGCAATTGCGAAATTGAACCACCCGCATATAATCTTTGTGAATGGAAAAGTTTACCGAGTGCCGATCGTATAAATTATTTGTCTAATATTATTCGTACATTTCAAGCTGATTCGAAGCGAATGCGTGAAACACTTGAAAATGCTATTACGAATGCGGCTCATAAACGAAAAGCAAAAGTGCAGGTAACAATATAAATTGCTTCATTTTCACCAATTTCCTTCAACCTTTTTTTCTTTTTTCCTCTAAAATAATTTTTCATCACTTGCAAAATGCAAAATAGCAATTTTCACCAATTCACCATTTATTCACCAACATTTTCTTTTTACAAAAGGGTTGATTATCTCTATTTGATGAATAGATTCTTTCGCCAGAGAGCCATTTTGGGATATAAGAATAGGTCGATCAACATCGTCGCTTGGATTTCTTTTTCTATGATAGGTTCATTCTTATTAGTTATTGATTATGTCTTCAATCGAAAGAAGCCAATCATTCAGTTATTACCATGCATCATAAACAGGTTTCAGCCTATTGCTCTTGTTTCTGTTTAAAAATTGGACCACATTATAACTTTCAAATATCACCATAAAGTATATAAAATATATAAAGTATATTTTGTATTTTTTAAACTATGAAGAAATATTTTTAGGTTGATGCTTCTAAAGCCAAGAAAACGGAACCGATTTTACGCCGTACTTCAAGTCTTTTGAAAGCGTTTTCCTCCGTCGTTGAAGGAGATAAATCAGATGATAAAATTATGAATGATTTTCTGGATGGTGAACAAGGATGTTTGGACGACGAAAAAGTAATTTTTTTAAATTTCCATTATTTCTTTTTGCTAATCTGATTTAATATAAAATTTCAGAGAATTTATTTGATTTCATTTATCATTTATTTGTTTTAAAGCTAATATATTATGTAAAATAATATTTATAAAAGAAGTTTTTCTAAGATTCGCGAGGTCTTATTAGAAATGAATGATGAAGAAATGAAACAGAAACAAAAGCGCGATCAGCGACTTAAAGTATTCGAGGAGTGTTTTAATAAATCTTCCAAATGTAACGAAAAAGAAGTTAAATTTTGGACGAAAAGGCCGGTGGTCGAAAAACTTCATCCAGAGCGTTTATTTACAGTTCGTTTTTTTCAAATTTTTTCTGTCTATCAGAATGGCGAGTATTTTTAAATCCTAGTGAGTCTACATTAGTCGCGGATAATCTTTTTTGTAGGTCGAAAAAATCATTTCTGGTGAATTGGAAGCAGAGAAAAACCGTGAATTATACCACAACAAAAGACGTTTAGCCAATATTTTTACTCGTAAAATGGAAAAAAAAGATATAGATGAGATGGAAATGAAATTGGAGCAAACTGGAATGGGTGTTCTATTTGATAAGGAACACTTTCGTGTTATGAGTTCGAAAGAACAGAAGGTTTATTTCCATAAATAATAATTAATAACAATAGTTTTATGTTTATATTACGCATAATTTTTACTAATATTCATGCAAATTTATTATTTTGCAAAAATATTTTATAAAAAAATCTATTACTTATTTTCTTGCCAGTATTTACCAGTTTCCTGAAACAATGCCATAAGACAACTCGAGCATTGACAATCTACGTTGTGCTCGTTTGTCTCTTCTCCTTTCCTTCTTTTATTTCTTCCATTTTTATCTTCCATTTATGATTTGTTTATTATTTTGTGAAATGTTGAAAGGGGAAGATTTATCTTCATGGGACGCTATATTAAGATTATATCTACAATTGGATAAAAGGGAGGTTTTAATCTACTTTTCGTTTATTCATTTTATTATAATATTATAATATTATATAATATAATGTAATATTACCATATTATAATTATTATTTTTTTCAAATAGATAATTAGTGCGAATGCTGCTGCTGCCCGGCAAATCGCTTCTGATGGTTTTAAACATGATAATAATAAATTTAAGGTTTTTCATTTTTTCTTAATTTACGTAAATTTTTAACTATCATAGATTATATATTGTAGATTATTTATTTATTTATTTACTGTAGATTATTTCCTGAATAAAATATATCCATTTACGCTAGTATTTTTTTTCATAGGATATTGATGAAAAATTAGCTAAAGCTGATAATATATTGAAAAATCAGAATTTGGCTGGAATCAATACTGTTTCTCGAGCACTGAAAAAGCCTTCTTTGGTGAGTTATTGTACCTAAGAATCGACATTTCATCTTTTTCAACATTACCGTTTTTATATTTTATATTTTTATTTTTGAAAATTCAGACACCGGCACCTCGACCTGCACCTCCAACACCTCCTAAAAAAGTTAGTCTTCGTGAATTTGCTAATCACTCTGAGTTGGAACAGTGTAGCGACCAGGAAAATGGCAAAATTTCTTTTCGAGTAAGCTAAAATTTTTTGTTCAAATTTTTTTTTTCTTATCAAATCTTGCGCATTATCGTTTCATTTATTGTTTTATTCGAATTCATTGAATTCGTTCAGAATGCCAGTCTATCAAAAACAAAGAATGGAAGGCCTGTGTCAATGCCTATCATTGGACTAAGTTGCGAAAGTGTTAATGCACGTCGGCAGGTGTGTTGTCAGTTATGCACGAAATTTGTTTATTTGGCGGAGCGGATGCAAGTTGAAGGCATGTTTATCCACAAAAGTTGCTTCCGATGTGCATACTGTGAACAACCGCTGCGACTAGGGCATTGTGCTCAGGATAGAAATCTTCATCAATTTAATCCAAGGTTTATTTTTCCAACTTGATCATTTCATTAATAAAGAAAGAACTAGCTTATATCATATTTAAATTTTAGGTTAATCTGGTATTTTTAGGTTAAATAGCATGTTTTTGGTGGTTAATTCACTTCAGAACTTATATTTGATGAAATATGTTTTCGAATTGAAATGTTATTTACTTGATTTTTTTTGTTTCAAATTTTAGATTCTACTGTATGCAACATGTAAATTTGCCCTTAGCCGAGAAACTTCTTCGTTTAGAAAAGTTGAAGCTCCGTTCATCGGCGAGATCAGGCGATGTCCGTGGTATTTTTTTTTCTTTCTTACCAATTTCTTATTGTTGGTGTAATCTTATATTTATTCAAATATACAGTTTAGGAAATTTTAATTTCCTTAATTTTCATGCATCTTCTTTAGTTCAGCAAATATCTTTGTCGGCTAATAATTCGTCAGCAACAGAAATTCCGCCTAAATCGAAACTTCGCGTACAAAAAGATGTATCGGTGAATGAAGTAAGTTTTATCTTTCTAGTGGGATAGAATGGTTCAGTGGGTTGCTCAATTCGGAGCGCCGATGCTGAGGTTCGATTCTTCGCAGGAGTAAACTTGTGCAAAAATCTGGGTGATGCTTACCTGTATTTCTGTCGCCAAGGGATTCCCTGCCATATTTGTCCAATGTGACAAGCCAGCGGAGCGAGTGTAGCCAGTAATGGTGAAGACTCAAAAAAAAATCCTTCTAGTGGATTTTCGTTTATTACATCGTAAAAACGCAGTTTTTCCGAAATTTACTTTTAAAAGTACTTTTAATTAAAAAATTTTCTCACCGTAGATGAAGCAGAATAATTTTTGAGATATTGTGGCATTATATGTTTCATTTAGTTTGGGCTTGTGAAATTCATTTACTAGTTCAATAATATAAATTGAATTATCTAAAGAAGTATCATTTTGCGGCATTGCAAATTCTACGAATTTGCTAATAGCAGTAAGAAACATAATGAAATGAATCCAGAACAATTTTCGTTTAAAATTGCTTGCACTAACCCAGAGAAAAGGTGTATAATAATGGAAGGGTATATGGTTCGAGAAATGCCAAACCGCTAAGTTTGCTTGAAAAGTCCTAGTGCACATTTATTTATAGCTCGAACTTTGCCTCGTTTTATTTCCATTTGTTCTTTGCAATCTGTTTAGCCGCAAAAAAGTTTCTTGAAGATTTAAGGACATTCCCCATCTAAGGGCTTAAATTACTGCAAAAATGGAAAAAAATTGTAGAAAGCGAATATATTTATTTGACTAATATTATATTTTGGTATGACATTATTAACGCAATGACCAGTTAATAATTTATTCATATAATCATTTAGCTAAGGAATTTCTAATTTTTTTCTTAAATTGAGTTAAACTGATTATCCAAGTTTAGTTTTTTAATTACTGAATTATACTTTTATTTATCTAATGTTCTTTCCTTACAGAAACCGCGATTATCAGATCTTAATTCTCCTTCTACCTTACTCAATAAAACCATGGAAAAAATGAGAGCTCAGCGAAGAGCTATAGATTCGGTAATGGAGATTGAGAAAAGTACCACACCAGAGCGAGCTAAATTCGAAACTTCTAAGCGCCATCAGCGCATTCATTCAGTAAATCTTATTGAACTTTTATCATGATGAATGAACTTTTATCATGATGATCTCTATTTATCTATATTTATCTCTATTTTTAAGAGTACTTTTTGAAATGCATCTGAGAATTTATTTTTTAGAAAGACAAGAACCAGAAAAACAAACAACATTCCAACGATATCTCAGTTAATTCCACGCTATCGAACTGTAATATTGTTCAACCATTACAATTAGAGAGGAACATAGGACAAGGTTTTAAACTTTTTTTAATATTTTTTCATTTAGTGGTTGTATTATTTTTTATAACAATGAACTTGATTTTTATTAATTTATGTTATGTTTTGTTAAGCGTCAAACGACTGTTCATCAACTGATGAGGAAGAATTCGTGGAAGCAGATCTAATAGAATTGGAAAATGTTGTTGCTGAAAGTATTGATGGAAATTTGAGCGATGCGCAGGTTCCAATTCATCTTCTTTTTCGGACTACAAAGAAAAATTTGTTTATTCCTAGTTTTGAAAATCTTTGTTCATTATTTCACTGAAGTGATTTTATGAATTTGCTTTTATGATAATTTATGATATAAATATCAGATTCTGAGCCATTTATAACACCAAATTTAAACCATTCAGGAATTTTTTCTATTTCCAGCAATAATTTTCTGAAATCTTATGGTCTTTATGAAAATTAGCAGGACTATAAGGATTATAGGAGCAGGAATTTACTTTTTTTATTTAAATTTAGCAAATTTTTGATGATGTTTACTTTTAATATATATAGCGATTTTAAAGGCCATGACACTATTGCAGTCGTTCATTAAGCGGCGTATGATAAACTACGGCAAGTTAGAGGTTTGTTGATTTTTTGCTCAATAGTATATTAAATTTCTCCTAATTATTTTAAATATTATTTACATTCAAAAATTTATTTTCTTTGTTATTGTTTTTATTTTTGTTGTCAATTTATGTTTCTGTTGTTTATTTTATTTTTATAAATCTAATAATTCTAAGAATTCTATATTTCACTCATCGAAAAATTTTTGCACGCTTATTTGACAAATTTTTTACAATATTTTAAGTACAAGTACCGTATTATGAATTATAAAATGACTATTAAAAATTTCTATGTTTTTTCATTCTTTTTTTTAAGACTGAAAGAAAAAAAGAAAGCAATGCAGCAGTGAAAAATAATAGAAAATCATCGGAAATGAACACAAATCATTTGTCATTTGATTTCGAGCAGGAAAGAGATAGTACTTTTGAGGTATTTTTTTATAAATATTTTTTGAATTTTATCTTCAGTTGAATAAGATATTTATCTTTAGATATGATCTTACAGGAAAATAAATTTCAAGAGAACAACTTTTCCATTGATGCAGCGATTTCAAATCGGATAGCCAAAGGTTTTTGAGATTTCATCATTGTTTTATTAAGATCATTGTACTAAACTTTTCTATTCGGACTGCTAACGTTTTTAGTTCAGGCAGTTTTATTAAATAATGCAATATCGACTGTATCATTTTTCCTTCTTTTATTTCATTTTTAAGCCTTTATCTTTTAGGTTTTAAGCCTGATAATTTGAAGAAAACTGTAATATCGAATCATTCATTTTTAGAAAATTTCAATAATTTGTCGTCTGAAATCCATCAAGCTGTATGTTCTTTTCCTATCGTATTTTATTCCTACTTTTCATCTTGGCTTTCTTCTAGCTAATTCAGTTGTTCTTCTGGATTTATTTCTGATAAATATAATTCTTTGCAGGAGTGCAACAATCGCCTCGACACTATTTATCAGAAGTTGTTTTTGATTTGTTCCAACGATGTTATATCAGATGATGAAAATCTTGCTGAGAACGGTACTCGTACATTTTATTTAAATGTTATTAATGATATCAAGTGGCACCATTTTTTCTCCCAGAAAATCATTGTAGCCGACTAAAATAGAAGTTATAAATAATAAATCATTCCAGTGGATCTGGGTTACTTCTTAAATCATTACTGGGTTACTTCTTAATTTTCTCATTACTTAAGAAGATGTAAAGATCATAAACCGTTTATTTCGGCAGTTTTTTGCAAAATTAGAATTTTCAGAATCTCGCGAAATAGATGAACTTAATATAATTCGAAAAGAAATTCGAAGAATTCAGGTAGTTTCTTCAATATTCTTATGGTTTTCTATTCTGTTGTTACAGTGAAATATTTGTAGAGGCGTGCAAGGAAAATTTCAAAAAAAAACGAAGAGGAGCGTATTAGAACGGCAAAAGATATTCAAAAGACTTTACAGGAAACCGAATTGCGAAAAAATGAAGTAATTGTTGTTGGAACCGACCTCGAAAAACGTTTAAAAGAAGGTGAATGTCTTAATCAAATTTTTTAAAAAATCACAATTTAATAGAATCAGTTTGTCTTTTACCTTTTTTTTTATGAAATTTTCGAAAAATTAATGCATGAATGAATGAAATTAAAGAAGAAATTGCGTTATTTATTCCGTAATTATTTAGATAACGAGAATGATTGGATATTAGAACAATGGTTGTTATATGTTCATGAATTCGATCAATTAAGGACGAAAGAAGAAGAACTTAGTAATAAAATACAATTACTGGACTCAATAGATGAATATAAAATGTTGCAAAAACAGCTAAAATTTCTGCAAGTACAATCGAACGAAAGTGGAGAATACAATAATGCCTATGTAAGTTTTTAATTAAGCAGCACTTGTATAGTTGATTTCATTTCCTGTTGTTTTTTTTTGTATAGTTTTTTATCATGTTTGGCATGTTTATTTAGCATGTTTTTATTTGTTTATTCATAAAAGAATTTTTATAATTTGATTTTTTTCTTTGTACAAAAAAGGAGAATATCAAATTTTGTTCTTTTATTTTCTTGTTTTTCTATGATTCAGCGATAATGAAATATTGAACATTTTTATATTTTTAGACCGAGAAAGATTTGCTCAAACATATGCTAGAAATCGTTGAAAAGCGAGACAACCTTAAGAAATTATTAGAAAAAAGAGTTGAAAAGTTGGTGAACTTTTTGATTTATTTGAATATTTATATATTTTTTCTCGTTTTCTCGAAATTCTCTCGTTTTGTTACATCTAGATCTATTACAGGTCCTGTTGGTCTTCCATCTGATGTTACAATTGCTCTCCTTTCCAATTTATAAAAATGCATAGAATTAGATGCATAGGATTCATCGAACGTTAAAAAATTAAAATAGGGCTGCATGGTTTGGATATGAGATTTCCTGGGGATATTTATTAGTGATATATCCCGAAGAGAAAAGGTATAGTCGCAGGAGATCAACATATTATGATAATTAGGAAGTGATAACAGAATGAGGCTCGAGGATGTTACAAAGGTGTATAGAGAGAGTGTTGCAGCTCACTTTAATATGCACTTCCTAT